TGCTAACGGCGATAGGGCCAAGCAGCGCAATCACAAAGATAACAAACAACAAAAAAAAATACATTAATATCGGCCAGAACAGTAGGGTTGTTTCGTTTTAAACATTTTGTTATAATCAACTGTTTTAAACATTTGCTTAGGTTTAAAACACTTAAATTAAACAAGCATTTTTTTTTTTCATTTTCTTTATTAATATAATGAAAAAACTTAAGAAAAATTCTCAAATACAAAATACATTATACAAACTTCTATATCATGGGCAAGTAAGCTCAATATATGGACTGAAAAACTATAAGTTATTTTATCTTTTCTGTCTAATTCCTCAAACAGATTCCTTCTCAGTTTGGTCACATTTGCAGCGTTGTCTGAGACTATGCTAGTTACCTTACAATTATATTCTTCACATTTCTTAATTGAATTTTTAAGNCTAGTTACCTTACAATTATATTCTTCACATTTCTTAATTGAATTTTTAAGTTGCTGTAATAAATACTCAGAAGTGTGACTAGCTTATAAAGTAGAAAGTAATCTAATTAAGAAAATTACTGGTTCATAATAACTTTTGTTTAAGTACTTAGAATTTATTCTTATTTTTATACCTATGCGTGATCAAGAGTAGGCCCAGAAACAACTAGTGATAAAAAATAGCATCATCCACTACTCACCACCAGTAATTGCTTTAAATTGTTAATAACTCATTTTCATAATTAAATTTTTATTTTTTTGTTATACTGTTTGTAAAGTAATACTTTTGTATAAAAAACTTATAGTGCTGGGTATAGTCGGGCACTGCTACTGAAAACTGTGATCTACCTAAAAGGACAAGATTGTACTAAATAAAATTATTTTTACAAAAAAATAAGTAAAAATATGGTTAAATTAATTTTTTCAAAACTTTTTATAGTGTAATATCAAAACCAACTTGTAATCTTTATTATAACATTAAATAATATCACACTTTATTTGAAAAATTAGTTATTATGAGATGCAATATTGTTATAATACAGTAATATATTTTATGATTTTAAAATGTAATACACAAATTTTTAGTAAGTGATAAACATTCTTACAAGTTAAAATTTATTTAAAAAATCTTGTTATGTACATTGAGTTAATCCCAAATTATCCAAATATATTCGCAAATAAGGTTCCATCAACGTAGAAAAACCTGAAAATATTTTTTTTCTTATAAAAGTCTACAAAATCACATCGTAATGTATAATTTTGAGAAAACTATTATTATTGCAATGTGGTTAAATAATTATTAAATAACTTTACAATGAAGATTTGTTGATACTATTACTCATATGATGTGTGGAATGAAAAATAACATTATTAGCTTTTACAACTTTATCGTGCTTCACAAATCATTATCTTATATGTAATAATATTCAATTCTTTTTTCTTTTAAATAGTTTTAAAAAATGCTTAAATAATTACTTTGTAAATCTAATTGGTCAATTATATTATTGTATGATACATTCTCATCATCCAGTAGTTTTTCATTATTCAAAAAATCTAAAAATACTGACTTTGAGATGAAATTTCAATCATTACAATAATACTCAAATATTTTGCTCAATATTTGTTTATCATTTAAATAACAACAAAAACTCGATGGTATATTCAATTTTTCTAGTAAAATAATCATCACTTTAGAATAATATTGAACCAGGTCTAGTTTATCTCCTAGTTCTGAAAACATAATAATAAATATTTTATATAGTATTTATATAAATATTTGGAAATTAAACAAATATAGTTTCTCTAAATACATAAAAAAAGATTTAAATTGGACACTTATTATTTGATTGCAGTTTTTAATATTTTTATATTTATATTAGTTTCTATTTTTTTTTATGTAAATATAAATTGACTATTACCTTTACATTCATTAAGTACTTTTTCGATTCTTTCATATTCATTCCTAATCATAGCTATAATTATCATTTGATCCGTATTTACTCTTGCAATATTTGCTGCTGATCCATAGTTTTTTTCAAATGGGTATTTCATTATCACCTGGTTAGATAATTCCTTAAGTTTAATGTAAACATTTTTTGGTTTAACATCGATCTAAATTGTTAAACAAAATTATATTAATTTTAAAAAGGAGTTATTAAATTAATTTAAGTATTGATATTATTTGAATAATATTGATCAAAATAAAATACTTATTGAATAATACAAAGAATATTTATTTTTGCAAATAATCATTTTACTGTTATTGTATTTTAACAATTTTTGTATTTTTAAACTATGTTAATAGTAGTGATGGGAAATATCTAATAGTAACTATCGAACTATTCGATAGTTGTCCACTATTCGAACTATTCGATAGTCATTCAAAAATTATTCGAATAGTAAAAATATTCCATAGTTCACAATATATTCGAATAGTTTTTAAAATATTTGATAGTTTATGCTAAAAATNATATATTCGAATAGTTTTTAAAATATTTGATAGTTTATGCTAAAAATAAAATATTCAGTGGTATAAAAACAGTTCGAATAATTAATCAATAGTTTAAAATATTTGAAAATGCTCATCACTAATTTTTTTTATTATTAATTGTATCCTATTTATAATCTTAGTACCCTGAATAAACAGTTTTAAAACAATCCTATTTAGATCGTTAGTGTTAAAACGCGCTGTCCTCTTTATCGGTGTTATGCCTTTATATGACAAAAGAGCAGGTAATGCTAGACTAAGAACAGTATACAAGGTATTAAGTGTAATATAAGACTTTAGTATTTACGAATATTTCTGTTGCGCATAGAACAAACCTTTCCGATAAAACTGAAAATACATCATTAGTCATCGGAAAAAAGAACTGCTTTTTAATTTTCAACCCATATTTATCAGTTTTTACCAACGACTCACAAACTAAAAATAAATAAAATGGTACTTTTTACTGTTATTAATTGTATAATAATTTTTTTAAGTATTCGTTAATTATCTTCTTATTATAATTAAGTGTACTTAATAAAAATTTTAGTTAGAACTAATCGAATATTTTTTGAAACCATTCGCTAGCCCATTAGAATATTTTTAAAAACTATTCGATAGTCTATTCGAATAGTTTATGCTAAAAACACACTATTCGATAGTTTAAAATATTCGAAAATGCCCATCACTAGGTATTTTATCAAAGTTTAAGTCATCTTTTTTTATATTTCCTACATTAACAGCATTCGATAATTTTTTAGCAAACATAATATAAGTGCCATTAAAGGTTGCATAGATACGGCCTTTACTAATGATTGAATCGTAATCATATTTGGAACATTAAAGCTGTACAACATATATTGAAAAACATCAATTATATATAAATAAGATTTATCAGGACATTTAATTTTAACAGTTGCATATCTTAATAAATTTAAATTTTCTTTATTTTTCATTGAAGTAAATTTTCCATCTTCATTATTTAATATGAAATGTTCGTTTTGTACATCATGATTAAATAAATAAAAAAATAGCAAGTTCTTGGGATTTAGGTCTTTATATTGATCCAACTTAAATTATGAGTTTAATGCATTGAAGNTATTGATCCAACTTAAGTGATGAGTTTAATGCATTGAAAACCTCATTTTTATTTATCATTATGGCCGTATTATTAATATCATAGTTAGTAAGTCGTTTCTTTAGTTGTTCTGAAATTTTTGGCAAGTCTTTTATATTATATTCTTTTAAAGTATTATAGTCGGGACATTTTACAAATTCTTCAACAACTGTAACATTTGTGCAATTACTGTTAATAAATTCACTCAGGTCATCAACTATTATTTGGTGATGTAATTTATATCCGTTGAGAACGTTTAATAGATTCTGATCATATTTTCCTGAACTATTTCTAGTTATAAAATGTAATGAACCTGAAACATTGTTCAAATATAAATTAATATCCATCAAATCATTAGCTGTTGATATTGAACATAATGACCGTAATGCATCCAACATAGTCATAATTATTTCCCCGTGTGTTTTTAAAGCTGCGCCATAAGTATTTAGATCTTCTAAGTCTACTGGTTGAAAATTGTTTCGTTTTTCAAGATTCAATAAATATTTTTCATTGTGTTTAAAGAAATTTAACATGTATTTTGAAAAATTACAGTGAAGTTCTAAATGTGACAATCCAACACATAAGCTTATTGATTTCAATAATATAATCAATGTAAATAAATCCATACTTAACGTCTTCACAAGTTTTTACAATAATTTTTTTTTTTGCAAATTGATTTAGTTGAACAGTTTTTAGTGTATAAATATAGTGTGGGGTTCGATTTCTAAATACTATTTTAAATTTAGTTTTCATATATTATGAAAAATATTTCACAATTTATTTTTGTAAACCATTGTAAATATTAAATTTATTCTATGAAATATTTTTTTTTTTAAGTATAGTTAACACTATCTCACTCTTTACCTTTTCTTGTTGTTTAAACGCTAATATCTTAAAAAATATTTAAATTTACTAAATTAGCAACTTTTTAAAGCGATTGTGTTAAGTCTTGTATATTGTTATAATCAAAATGACAGTTTGCTGTAGTTATACTAATGTATAAATATATTTTTTTTATAATCACAAACAATTCACGTATTATATGCTTTTAGTAAATATTACAAAAGCGTTTGAATTTAAAAATTTATTCTAAAAAAACGATAGCACAGAGGGGTCGCGGCATAGTGGAGACATTGCATAGTTGGGTTCAGTCTAGATTTAATCTGACAGTGATTAAAATCACTATCATAAGAAACGCTTCGATGCAAATCTGTAGATAGTGTTTAATTTTAAAAAATTGATGGATAATTGCAAAAGCAACATCAACTTCTATTAAAATAAAATACAAAACCCATAATTATCATACAAAAATAG